CAACCCCCACGTAGAGCAGGAGAGTCTAAACCAGGGGTCTATGACTTGTGGACCTCAACTCCCAGAATTCCTCAGCCAGGCATGCTGGCTGAGGAATTCTGGGAGTTGAAGTCCACAAGTCATAAAGGGCCAAGTTTGAAGAGCCCTGGTCTAAACCATTCTGGACAAATGGCTGTCAAATCTCTTCCTCCTAGCTTGCTGAACCCAGTTCAATAATTAATTTATTTTGGGGTTTGCACAAGATCCTGAACTGTAATCTAAGAACCAACAAGATTGTCACGGCATGATGAAGGTGTACATATGAGATCCTGATCAAGGTTAATCCTTCTAATATTCAAAAGCTAAATTAAAGTTTCACATATATATTTAGTTTCAAAGAAAAAGTCCAAGTGGAAACAAAGCTAGATAAGTTTTTCTCTTTAAGATTGGAATGATTTTGTTGTTATAGAAATCACCGGAGATTTTCAAAAATAGATTGGACAACCATTTGACTAGATTTGTATGAGATTTCCTGCCTTGGGAAGGGGTTGGACTTGATGGTCTCCAAGGCCCCTTCCACATATAGGATTCAGTTATTCTAAATGGCTTGAAATGTTCAGAAATATAAAGCAAAAGATTTAGGCTGCCATTCTTCTTTTTATTTTACTGCACTGAAAAAAAGTCAGAAGTCAGTATTTTTTTCCCCATTCTTTTTCTCTCTCTTTGCACCTTTTTTTCTCTCTTTTCACTGTTTGTATTTGTATTTTATTCTACAACACACTTTAATAAAACATGGCAGGGGGAAAAGGGACGATTTCAGCCAGAGACAGCTTTTTCTAGTATTGTGAGGTAGGAGAATGTCAAATCTGGCAGAGAATGTCTATTCAAGGTGACTCTTAAACCTCCACTGTTTATGGAGACTGTATGAGAGCAAACAGGAATCCAGTTTTTTCCTACTTACAAATGGGATTTTATTTTATTTTATATTATTTTATTTATTTATTGTGATTTAGCTGGCATCTGTCCTGAAGCCATTTTAGTCACAGGATGAAAGAAAGAAGCTGGTTTCTGAGCAGCTTTGCATATTTGTGCATTTGCCTATTTTGTAAAAACATGGAAAAATAATAAATGAGGTGCAGATTAGAGTACAAACCAGGGAAGAAATGAGATCTTCACTTTGCAGCGGCACAGGATTTTATTGGCATTTCATCCTCTAGAAGAGACAAGCAGAGGAAGTTTTAATATTTAGCATTCTGACACCCTTATGATATGTTTAATGTAAATTCACCAAGAGCATCACACTAAAACCCATCAGTCAACAACAGTTTCCCACTTCTGCTCTACTTTCTATGTTTTGAAGCTTGGCAACTGTACGGTGGGTGGACTTCAACTCCCAGAATTCCCCAGTCAGCATGATTTAATTGTATGGATTTCAACTCCCATAATTTCCTAACCAACATAATTTAAGATGGGTGGACTTCAGCTCCCATAATTCACCAGCCAGCATATTTTAAGATGGGTGCACTTCAGTTCCCAGAATTCCCTAGCCAACCATGTCAGCTGGGGAATTCTGGGAGTTGAAGTCCACCCATCTTAAAGCTGCTGAGGCTAAGAAACACTGCTGTCATTTGTGTCTCAAAGCAAAATTATGAGCTGGAAAAAACCTCCCACATGCTCAGAGACACAGGACAGCCCCCCTCTCAGCTTCTACACACCCACAACTGGAAGACCAACACATTTTGCACGAAGGCTTCCTAATTAACTGATCGGGGCCCATTTTCCATGGGGAAAAAAAAAGAGAAGGGCTCAAAATGAACCCTTGGCACCTCCAGAAAAACAAAACAAAAACAAAAACAGAGGCCTGCAAAAAAACAGGCCATTCTGCCTTGGAGGGCTTCAGTCTAAAAAACCTCTGCACATTCCCAGAGACTCCCAGATCATCGAGAGAAGAGGTTCCCCCCCCCTCCCATCAACTTGGCTCCCTGCATGGCTATTTTTGCCAGTGATCTGCCAGGTCTCTGCAGTGGCATTAAAGCAGCTGTACCCCTTGGACTGCAATCCCCATACTCCCCAGCCCCTGTGCTGGGGGGGGGGGGTTGAGGTCCATATCCCTGAAAGCAAAGATTTGGGGCAGACAGTGAGGCTCCCCCCTCCCAATCCTTGCAGCCTGCCCCACCCAGCCCAGGCCTTCACTGCCTGCCTCCTCCTTCTCTGGGCTGGCTGCGGTTGCCTAGCAACCAGGCTCTGCACCACTGCAGGGATCCCTATGGCAAGGTAGGCCCCGTGGTGGCTTGCAAAGGTGAGCACGCTGCAAGACCCACATACACACTGCCGGGGACGCCGCCTCCTGCACGGGGTGGGGGCTGAGCGGGCAAAATAGCAAGCGTGCATGCATGTGGCGCCTTCACATACTTGTCACTGGGGCAGACCCAGCCCAGCCATTCCTTTGCCCTGAGCAAGAATTATTTTTGCAGGGTTTTCCCCCCCACCCCTCTCTGATGCAACATTTTTCTATAGTGCGTAGCTGTTTTTTTTTTCTTTAATTTTAGCTAGAAGACACGATCGTTGCAATCAATAGATTAGATTTTTCCTGGCATTATTCCCAAAACACAGCAATGGCTTTATTTTGGCTTGCCAGTTCTACAAATTAGCTGTTGCATCCCTCTAGCCCTCTTTCATCCCTTGTAGTAATTAAGCTATCATTTGTTAAAATTACGTTGTCTGGTTTAATATGGGTACGGCGACCCTATTTTCTTGGAAAAAATGAAGCACTGATTTTTTTAAAAAGGAGAAAATCTGAAAGAGGTTCGTAAGGATAAAAGAAGAACATTGTGGATGTTTACAAATGGGTTTGCAAAGGGAAATTCCAGAGCGAGAAAACCTGTTTGCATTTTAACTTTTTTTATTTTTTGAAATTAAATACAAATCTTTAAAAAAAAAGAAAAGAAAGGAAAACTTTACAGAAAGATGTATTGTAAGAAAAATATCTCAAGTCGAACTGTACAGGGAAATTTATATTAAAAAGAGGATTGCACATCGTAAAATTGTGAAATATTACAATGTAAAATTTAGGAAAATGTAAAATTGTGCATTAGGAAAGACTGTGAGGATTGTGCGTTGCAGTGTCCATACAGTGAAAGCTGAATGAGCAAGATAAGGGATAAAAGCCCATTTCTGAAAAATAAATCAACTTAAAGGAGAACTTTCTAAAAAAAAAAAAAAAAAGACTGTCCTTTATAACAAAGAATATACGGTCAATGTAACCAGGATTTGAGAATTCAGACAATTACAATTATCAATTCTCCATATTTTAGCTCTTTATCCAGGGTTGCAAACATTTTGGTGAGAATATTGGTGTTAATATTCCCCGCCAGCCTTTGGCAACTTGGATTAAGCCCATAATCCCCAGCGGGTTGGTGAAGTTGAAGGCATTTGGTGAACACCCTGTCATTTCATATCCTGTATTTGGCATGTGCTGTTTACATGTTTATAGGATAAATACTGATGATTTTGCTAATCTGTGTAATGCAAATCCAGCCTTTTTTTCCCCTTTAAACCAAGAAAAAATAAGATTATAGTAAAATAAATCTCCCTCCAGGATTCATCGGTTCTTGACTCACACTCTTGTGAGTCTGCTCTATTGCTCTATTACTTAACTTAGGACCATTTATTTAGAGACCTTTGAAATTATAACAGCACTGAAAAAAAGTGACTTAGGACCGTTTCTCACACTTATGACTTTGCAGCGTCCTCATGGTCATGTGATCAAACTTCAGATGCTTGGCAACTGGCATGTACTTATGACAGTTGCAGTGCCCCGGGGTCACGTGATCCCCTTTTGTGAACTTCTGACAAACAAAGTCAATGGGGAAGCCGGATTCACTTAACAAACTTAACAATTGCAGTGACTCGCTTAACAACTGTGGCAAGAAAGGTTGTAAAATGGGGCAAAAGTCACTTAAGACCTGTCTTGCTTAGCTGGGACCAATTGTTGTAAATTGAGAACTACTCCTTACCTTATAACTATGTATTTAGAGACTGTTTGAAGTTACTGTGGTGCTGAAAAAAGTGAGTTACGACTGGTCCTCACACTTGTGAGCATCAAAAGGGTCCCCATCTCAAGTGATGAGATCTTGGCTACCGACTCGCACTTAAGACAATTGCTATGTATTGCAGTCACATTGTCGCCATTTGCCACCTTCCCAGATGGCTTCCGACTATCAAAATCAAGGGAGAAATCGGCAGGGAAGGTTGCACATCATAGTCCCGTGATACCTTACTTAAAAATCACATCACTTAACGATGAATTTGCCAGTTCCAATTGTGGTCGTAAGTTGAAGTAGTCTGGCTAATTCAAGATTTGTGCCTGTTAACTACATTTGACATTGCTTTTCTTAAAAGAAAAGTCCTTAAATGGCCCCCTATCAGAGGGGGCTGGTAGGCTTCTCTCTCCCTTGCTGCCCCACCAACTTCCTGTTCCAATTAATTTTTAATTTAAGGGACTGAAATGCAAAGCAAAAAATGAACCTCTAGCATCTCCCATATTTCAATATCTCTCTTTTAGGACTAACGCTCAGAGCTGCAAAAATCTGAGCAACCACTAGATGGCTCCAAACAGAGAGTATCTAGAATCTCTTTGCTGCCACCTAGTGGCATCCAAATATTCATCCCAGTCATCTAAATAAAGTTAACCATTTAATGAACTTAATCATCCATTTAGCATTAAGATTCATTAAAGAATATTAAAGAGAGTTCCAACCTAGAACTAAGGAGAAATTTCCTAACAGTGAGAACAATCAGTCAGTGGAATGGCTTCCCTCTAGAAGTTGTGATGCTCCATCATTAGAGGTTTTTAAGAAAAGATTGGACATTCATTTGTCTGGAATGGAATAAGGTCTCCTGCTCAGGCAGGGTTGACTAGAAGACCTCCAAAATCTCTTCCTCTGTAAAGTGATGCCCATTTTCCATGTCATCCTCTCCAGCCTTCATCTGGCCTGTCCCAACTCTTGACGAAGACCAGAATGGCCGCCTCAGGTGGAAGCCGCTGGGAATGGGAGCCGGTGGTCCGCAGCGACCTCTTGGCTCGGGGCTTCCATTCCTGCAACGTGGTGCAAGGAAAGCTCCTGATCTTTGGGGGGCTGAAGACCCAGGACACTCAGGAGCCCCCCATGGGAGACGTGGTGACCTTTGACCCATCCACCCAGACGGTGCACACGCTTGCTCCGGAACACGGCTACCATCGCAGTCACCACGAGGCGGTGGTGCTGGGCGACCGCTTGCTGTGTGTGGTAGGTGGATGGGATGGATCCCACAGGGTCTCGGATGTCTGCAGTTTCGATGCGGAGCAGAAGCAGTGGGAAGGCTGGACAGCCAGAACATCTGAGACCCCCGTGGGGCTGAGTAGCCATACCTGCACCCAGCTGACAGAGCATGAATTGCTGGTGGTGGGCCGGGAGGGTGGCCTACGCACCCAGCGGCGTTATGCCAGCATCTTCACGTTGCACCTGCAGCCTAGCAACAAGACGTACTGGTAAGTCCCACTCAGTTCCTGGCATAATCAAAAAACAGATCCGTGAACATCTGGAAACAAATAAAATTATAACTAGTAGCCAGCATGGGTTTGTTAAAAACAGATCGTGCCAAGCCAATCTTATTTCATTCTTGGACAAAGTGACTATTAGTAGACCAGCAAAATGCTGTGGACATAGTATATTTAGACTTCAGCAAGACATTTGACAAAGTAGACCACAACCGACTTCGTGGTAAGCTAGAAAAGTGTGGGACAGATAACATCACCACCAGATGGATTTGGCTAAACAAACTGTACTCAACGAGTAGTCCTTAATGGTACTACATCCACACGGAGAGAAGTAAGCAGTGGGGTATCACAAGGTTCTGTCTTAGGCCCAGGACTCTTCAATATCTTCATCAATGACTTAGATGAGGGAATAGAAGGGGAACTCATCAAATTTGCAGATGACACTAAGCTCCAGGAATAGCCAACACCCTGGAAGACAAGCTCAGGATATAAAATGTTCTTGACAGACTTGAACAATGGGCCCTATCCAACAACATGAAATTCAATGTGGAGAAAAGCAAGGATTTGCACCTAGGCAGGAAAAACCAAAGGTACAACTACAGATTAGGTGAAACCTGGCTCAAAAATAGTACAGTAACTGTGAGAGGGACTTTGGAGTCCTAATGGACGATCACTTAAACATGAGCCAGCAGTGTGCGGCAGCAGCCAAAAAAGCTAATACAATCCTTGGTTGTATAAACAGAGCCATAGAATCAAAATCATGTGAAGTGTTAGTAGCACTTTATAAATCCTTAGTAAGGTCCACATTTGTCTGAAAGGGTATAGGGTATAGGAGGTTGGACTAGAAGACCGCCAAGATCCCTTCCAGCTGTATTCTGATTGAGGTCCCACTTGCATGGCCAATATAGACATAGGGGTGGGCTCATCTATGGCGGTGTTTCTCAACCTTAGCCATTTTGAAGATGTGTGGACTTCAACTCCCAGAATCTCCCAGAATTGCAGTAGTGTGCTAGAGCAGGGGTCCCCAACTCCCTATCCGTGGACCAGTACCGGGCCACGGCATGCCAGAAAGTGGTCCGCACAAACAAGCAAAGCCCTATCCGTGGGATGCAGGCAGTACATGAAACCGGGCCCCTTCTGGTCCACAGAAAAACCTCTCCACGGAACCGGTCCCTGGTGCTCAAAAGGTTGGGGACCTCTGTGCTGGAGTATCATGGTTAACAAACCATCATGAATGTTTCCCTAACATGCTAAACCAAATGTCCAAAAGGTGTTTTTTCAAAAGGCAACTGCACTCCCTTTGTTTTTCTTTGAAGAGGTTTTGCTTCTCATCCAAGAAGCTTCTTCAGTTCTTCTTCAGCTTCACTTCAAAACTGAAGAAGCTTCTTGGAGGAGAAGCGAAACGTCTTCAAGGAAAAACACAGAAAGTCCAGTTGCGTTTTGAAAAAGCACCTTTGGAACAACCCTGACCTGGATGACTGGGAATCTCCACAGACATGCTAAACCAAAGCAAGCCACTACATACAGCACACACATAAAGACGTTGTGCATTTTGTAAACCAAGATTGAGCACAAGCTAAGTGTATACTATAGGCAGATAAGGAATGCAAAATGCGAATGCAATTATACAATTGAAGATGATACATTTGCATTTTGCATTGGTTAAATGACACTTGTTTGGGTCAAAGCTTATTCTCAGCGGAACCGAAAATGAGCTTTTAAAAGCAGGCAGAAGAACTTGACCCATTGAAAGTCAAAATCTTTGCCTTCTCCTCTTCTCTCCCTCTTCTTCCTCCTTCTCTTCCCCTTCCCTCTTCTTCCTCCTCCTCTTCTCCTCCTCCTCCTCCTCCTCCTCCAAGGTACAAAGAGGAGGAATCACGGACAGCCTCTCGAGCCGGCCACTCTGCCATGCTGCTGCAGGACTATGGCCCACGCGGGAAAAGCAGCGGCTACAAACTCCTGGTCTTTGGAGGGCGCGATTCTGCGGACTGTGACATGGCCGGACATTGGAGCAAAGGGAAGCTCCACGTGAGTTAGGTGTCAGCGCAGATTGATAGCTTTTAGAAGACAGAGCAAAACAGAGTTGGAAGAGGCCTTGCGGGTCGTCTTATCCAACCCCCTGCTCAAGCAGGAGGCCCTATGTCATGCCAGACGGCGACTGAGAAAGCCAAGACCCGGGTGGAAATGGTTCCCAGCCCTTAGGGTGGGCAAAATTACGTGAGGGGTTTGAAACAGGGGGCTTGCTAGGAGGGGAGGAAAGCCATGGCGCTCCCCCAAATCTCAGAGATGGAGGATAAAGTCAGCCACATTTGGCATGCTAACCCCAGCTTTGGGGCAGTGTTTCTCAGCCTTGGCCACTTGAAGAAGGGTGGACTTCAACTCCCAGAATCCCCCAGCCAGCAGGGCTTGCAGCTGCATGTATGTACAATAAGGTTAACCACTTCAAAGGAAGTCAGTCAAAAAGTGTGGCATCCTTAACGTCAGGCCAAGCCAAGCTGTCTCTGCCTTTCCTTCCGCAGGTCGAGTCCGCCCAGGCCCTGGAGCTGACCGAGCAGCTCTCTCGCTTGGTGGGCACTGAAAGGGGGTCACAGCAGGGCCCCAAAGGCCTGAGGCACCATTCCTGCACGGTGGTCGGGCCCTTTGCGATCATTTTTGGGGGAGAGACCTTGGCGAGGGGCCGAGACGCCGTCTGCAATGATCTTTATATCTATGATGCCAGTAAGATTTTTTTAAAAAAATCTCTTCCTCTAACCCGGGGGCCTCCAAACTTGGCCACTTGTAGACTTCAACTCCCAGAATTCCCCAGCCAGCGCATGTGAATTCTGGGAGTTGAAGTCCACAAGTTTTAAAGTGGCCAAGTTCGGAGACCCCTGCTCTAACTTGTGGGACTGACAGAACACAAGTGGTTCTTCTCGTTTTTTCTGCCGTGCAACTTGTCCTGTTCAGCCCTACCAGTCCCTGCCGCAAGAAAATTAAGAAGAGCTCACTTCAGCTCAGGAAATTGCAATGAGCAGCCTTGCCTTCCGAGATTGGAACCTGCATTTGAAATTGCAAGTAGTCCCTGACTTATGACATATGCACAATGGTGCCAAGTGGCTGAATTGCAATCGTGTCAGTGTGGGGACATTGCAACGGTTGCTAAGGGTCAGGGCCAGCCCTAAGACACTGTTTCCAGGGCTGTCATAATTTTGAACAATCGTTCAACGAACTCGAGGATTTACGAGCGTTTGCTTCATTCTTCCAGGAGCGTCACCAGCAAACTGGTTCCACTTCCCTTCTTCTACCCACGTGCAGAAGAGATGCGGCCACCGAACGTGCCTCTGGGACGACAAGCTCTACCTGGTGGGAGGGTTTGGAGCCGATGGGAAGACCCCTTGTCCGGAGATCTGCAGCTTAAAGATCTTGCCATGAAACTGAGGATTTTGCTGACCAGCTGGGACCACCAAATGCTTCTCCTGAAGGACCTCGCCTGTTAGCTGTGGAAAGTGGGCCCACTCAGGTGGAGTAAACGCACCCACGCCTGTCAGAAAGACGTCCGTTCTCTTTGTGCACAGAAATAAACATCTGACGTAAACCGAAAACGCCAGCAAGAAGTCTCCTCCTTAAATCTGAGATATGTTCCCCCTGTGCCCAATTTATAAACAAAAGTTGACTTTCCCCCATCGTTAACGTTTCCCAAAAGTCTAGTTTTGATTTGATCTTTTAAAACAAAATCTAAAAAAAAAAGTGGCAACTGGCCTGTATTTATGACGGTCGCAGTGTCCGGGGTGTGTGTGTCACGTGATCCCCTTTTGCGACTTTCTGACAAGCAAAGTCAAGGGGGAAGCCCGATTCGCTTAACGACCGTGTTGCTAACCATATGACTAACTTAACAATTAAGGTAACACCTGTGGCAAGGGAGGCTGTAAAATGGGGCTAGGTACACTTAATAACTGTCTTGCTTAAGAATGGAAGTTTTGGGTTTAATTATGGTCATACGGGACTATCTGTAGTGGCTTTTAATCTATGAATTAAAGCAAATATATTTTCACATGAATATAAGTTTTGTGGGAAAAGGGGTTTTAAGAGAGGGAATGAAAAAAAAAATTCTCCCAGAATCAGAGACTCCCATTCTCATTTTTTAAAAAAATTAGACCGTTTTCTTGCTGCATTTTGGGGGAGGCTGGGAAGTTTTGCACAACTTCTCCAGTTGTGACAAAGGAGCAAAAAGACATTTCTGAATGCTGCTAGAGATAAAATAGTCACCTTGCTCACTTTAAAAATGTGTTACCCGACAAACCAAGCACGCTTTTTCATTTTTCACAGACTACATAAAATAAATGTCACCCGTTCTTAATTTAAAATTACAAAATGAAACAATCCTAAATATTTCTTACAATTCGTTCTGTGGTGGGGGTTTGTCTTAAGAGAGGATTTGGGGCACGGCTTTCCCAAACTGACAGCTGCTATGTTATCATGCATTTTGCCAGCGAGGGCACTTCCTGTGTGCAAAAATGAAGCTCCACAGACACTGCGCAGAATTTCACCTTAGCAATTCTCCTCATTCCTTCACTTGTCTTGCTTAAGAATGGAAGTTTTGGTCAAGGAACCAAAATGTGCTTTAGCTAGTGTGGCTTCTCTTATCTCAAACGTTTCTCTAGGTTACTTTAAGATGGATGAACTTCAACTCCCAGAATTCCGCAGCCAGCCATGCCCATTTTCTGTCTCTCAATCCCTAGAATGGAGAGATTGCAGAGGAAGGGATCATATGAGAGTAAGCAGGTATACATCAGACATCAAAAGGAATGTGTAATCACCAGGGAATTGCTGGCTGGGGAATTCTGGGAATTGAAGTCCATGTCTTAAAGTTGAGAATCACTGCCCTGGACACAGACACACCCTACCCCATGCTATGAAGACAATCCTAGACTTGTATGCTTGCCTAAATTTCACAACAAACCAACATTTATTTAGCAAAACACAGTGAAGATGACCCTATAACATCCATAGTGATAACGGTGGGGTTTTTTTTTCTGAGATCCAAAGCTGCAACTGTGGGCTGAGGGAGGGGGGGTCAAGTCCTTCCATATTAATCCACTCTTCTCCTTAAGAGACCAGGACTCCTGCTGAACTGGATTTGGCAGCTGCCCCCTCCGGGCTCTCTTTGGCAGGTGGCTTCTGCTCTTCCTCACCCATCAGACGAATGTTGTGCTTCTCACGGAACTCATTCAGCTCCCGGCCTTTGGTCTGCAGCTGCTGGCTCAGGGTCTCGATGATCTTGTTGATCTGCAGGGGGGCAAAGAGGGAAGAGGCAGTAAGAGTCAGTCAGTGGGGTGGAAGGCCCGCCTCAGCCACGGAAGCCGGCTGGATGACCTTAGGCCGGTCATTCTCTCAGCCCAGCCCACCTCACAGGGTTGTTATTGTAGGGAAAATAGGAGGAGGAAGGAGGATTAGGTATGTTCACCACCTTGGATTATTTGTTAAATTTACAGCGCAGTTCTTTTTATTGGGTATTATGGATAATTTGGATTCAAAAGAAATGTCACTGATGTTGTATTGTATAACTGCAGCAAGGACATTAGTTGCTCAAAATTGGAAAAAAAAGATATTACCAACTATGGATGAATGGAGACAGAAAGTATCATATTTTGCAGAGATGGCAAAGATATCCGCATACCTGAAGGATCATTCTCAGGATAAATTTATTTTAATATGGAGAAGATGGATAGATTATATTCAGAGAAAGTATGAACTGAAAAATTATTATGTTGCTTTTGATTAAAATTTAGAAAAATAGGTACATATTGATTGTTATTTTAGAGTCACAGTAATTTTGTATTAGTGTGTAATAATAATGAGTAGTGTTGTTTTGATTAGCATTGGATGATTGTGTATTGATTTCCTAGGTTATCTTTGGGAAGTCTTGGGGGGGGAGGGGGGAAAGGGTTAGGTTTTTTATAGATTTAGGTGTATATATATATATATGTATGATTTTTCAGGGAGGTGCCCGGTGATACCCCGACTGCATTGAAGGGAAGAAAGAGGATGAAGGGAAGTAGAAAGAGGGAGGAAGGAGGAGTGGTGGTAGATAAGGAGGAGGAAGGTGTAGGTAAGTGAGAGAGGGATGCGGGAGGGGGACACCGGACACCATCTTGAATGTATTATTTGATGTTTATTTCTTTTTTCTGTATGATATTGTGATAAAAGATTTATGTTTTTGTTTTTTTTTAATGAAAAATTAATAAAAACTATTCAAAAAAAAAAAAAATAAGGAGGGAGGGAGGGAGGGAAGCACTCTTTTCACTTTCCTTGAAGAGGCAGGGACGTCTATTTGGGTGGATCTAGGCTCAGAAAAATATCTTCCTGCAGTCAACATGGAATTATGTCCTATGTGAAAAGAACCGGGAGGCTGGGATCTGTTATTTGTGCAAGAAAATTAATGAAGGCTGGTGGTGACAAATTGGCAAGTCTAGGAGAAAACCATTGTCAAATGGCAGTCTTACACTCAGGGTTTGCTTCTCTCCAAATTGTGGGGGCTTTCTGTGCCTCGGAGAAGCCTGGGAACTGGAAGAACCACTCCAGCCCTGTCCAACCCGAGAATCCCTCCTCCAACAGGGGCATAAGAAATCCTCTTAAAGTGGGGGGGGGAGTGGGTTGCATATAGAAATGTAAGGAATGTACACAAAAAATGTTATGAAATGGGGCACAACTCACCAGAGAGATTCGCTTAACAACTGTGGCAAAAAACATTGTAAAATGGGGCACAACCGCCTTGCTTACCAGTAGCGATGGAAATTTTGGGCTCCGTTGTGGTCATAAGTCAGAGACAGCCTGTATTCATTAAAGATGCCAAAGAGATCTTTGCTGTCTCATGGAGAGTTGGAGAGGCTACCCAATGTCCGAACAGCACTATCAACTCTTTCTTTCTCTTTCCTTTCTTTTTCTTCCTGTCTGTCTTGTCTGTCTGTCTGTCTGTCTGTCTGTCTATCTATCTATCTATCTATCTATCTATCTATCTATCTATCTATCTATCTATCTATCCACTCTCATCTATCTGTATCTATCTATTCTCATCTATCTACCCTCATCTATTCTTTCTATCTACTCCTTTCTATCTCTATCTATCTCTCATCTATCTATGTACTCTCATCTATCTACTCTCATCTCTGTATCTATCTACTCTCATTTATCTATATCTATTTACTTCATCTATCTATATCTATTTACTCTCATCTATCTACTCTCATCTATCTATCTATCTATCTATCTATCTATCTATCTATCTATCTATCTATCTATCTATCTATCTATCTATCTATCTATCTATCTATCTATCTATCTATCTACCTACCTACCTACCTACCTACCTACCTACATCTGTCTGTCAAGCAATTCTGGCTTACCTGCTCCTTGTTGTTTTCCAGGGCTGGGAGAACCTCCTTGACGGTGCGCTCCACCAACACCCCCCCCACCATGCGGAAGCACTTCCTGGTCGGGTCCACCTCTCTGAGTGTTTCAATGACCAACCTGCACAGGAGACGAAAATGGCAAGCTTGGTTCAACATCTCCAGATGAGGCCAACACAAGTGATCTAGAATCTAGAAATCAGGGAGCCCACAAATCAGTTTATAGACTTCTGTCTTGAAGCCTCATTGCTGCCCAGTAGTCCTCGACTTACGACTGTTTGTTTTGTGACCATTTGAAATTTCAAGAGTGCTGAAAAAGTGCTTTGACTGTTTTTCACACAACTGTTGTAGCATCCCCGTGGTCATGTGATCAAAATTGAGACGCTTGGCAACTGACTCATATTTATGACAGTTGCAGTGTCCTGGGGTCACGGAATCCTCTTTTGTGACCTTATGAGAAGCAAAGTCACTTAACAACCATGTTACTAAGTTAACAACTGCAGTGATTCATTTAACAGCAATGGCAAGACAGGTCGTAAATGAGGCAAAACTCATTTAACAACTGTCATGCTTATCAACAGAAATTTGTGGCTCAATTGTGGTCGTAAGTTAAGGACTACCTGTACTAGGTGGATCTGGGCTACCCTAATTTAATTACAACCAAAGCAGAAAAAAAGCAGACTTTTTTTATCTGCCAAGAATCAAGAAAATCCCCATTTTTCATTTGTGGTCATGACATACTTGTGTTCGTTCAGTTCCATCTCCAGCTCAGCTGCCTTTGAAGCGAGACCTCTCTGCTCCTGACGGAGGCGGTTGAATCCTGCTACCACCTGGAAGGGAAAATTACACCTATGTTGATGAACAAGAACTGCTTTTATTTGTTCTTTCTAGCCCGCCTCATCCCATCATCTCTTTTGTGCATAAATTTTAGACAGTAAATGGCCCTGGTGTCTTTGCTTTCCTAAAGCAGTTGAGTGCGCTGAGGATTCACGACAACCATCCCTGTGTATATTACCAAGGAGAGAAGAGTAACTCCTATCAGCCTCCCAGTCCAATTACATGTTTTGGTATTTTTTATTTTATTAACTTTATATGCCACCCGCGTCACTATCCAGAATGAGTCTGGATGGCTTACCATGGCTAATTTAATCAGAAGCCCCTGTGGGGAGTGGGGAAGGGGAGAACTTTGTGTAATGTTTTCAGTAACTAGGAATGTCTTTGATTAATGTTTATAGTTCTTTGAAGCAACAGAACCTTCTCCATGTGGAATGTGGATTTTGATAAGAACCAGTTCAAACCAGCCAGAGACAAGGCCTGTGTAAAGATTTGAACTTTAGCAACTTGTAAACTCACTATAATGTGGGAAACACACCACCTGAATATGAAATTGAGCCCACACCCATGTCTCGGTTCGTATTAGCTGTGATTGGCACCAACTTCCAGCGGAGGCAGCAGGTCAGTCATCAGTAACTGAGCTTAAACATTCTTGGGATAAACACACATCCGCTGTATGACAAACATTTTAAAATAAAATAAAATAAAAAAACAATGAAAAATAATAAATTAAAAATAAGACAAAAAAAACCCCTTGAAGAGGAGACTCAATAGACAACTGGATCTTTTCTGCCCTCAGTTTTCTATGCAGGTCGTCCTCCACTTACAAGCACAAAGGAGCCCAAAATTTCTATTGCTGAGTGGGACCGTTGTTAAGTGAATTTTACCACCTTTCTTGCCACAATTGTTAAGTGAATCATTGCAGTTGTTAAATTAATAAAATGGTTGTTAAGCGAATCCGGCTTCTCCCATTGACTTTGCTTGTCAGAAAGTCGTAAAAGGGGATCACGTGACCTGGGGACGCTGCAACCCTCCTAAATGTGAGTCAGTGGCCAAGCATCCAAATGTAAATCCTGGGGATGCTGCAATAGTCATAAGTATGAAAAGTGGTCATGAGTCACTTTATTCAGTGCTGTTGTAACTTGGAACGGTCGTTAAGTCGAGGACTGCCTGTATTTCTATGACATTCTCCCCCCATGAGTTCAACAACCAGTGAAGCCGCCCAGGCCCAGATCAGGGTTTGAATTATCAGCCGCCCAGACTCATTGACCGACAGGGGCAGCTATAGAAAATGAATAATGAATAAAAATGAATAATAAAAGAAATAAGGCGGCTCAACGTCTCCTAAGAGCGTCGAGATAGGACCGAGGAAACGGGTTCAGGGCACTCTGCACATGCTCAGGGGAGAGAAGAAGCATCATCGCCTGTGGCAACCACGTCCAATCGCATCCTTCTGATCGGCTGGGCGCTCTGCATATGCCCAGAAGCCCGCCGCTCGGTTCGCTGCTGCTCCCAGCCCGCCCACCGCGGTACCTGCTCGGGGGTCAAAGGCTTCGCTGCCCCGCCGCCGCCCGCAGGACCCGCCTGAGCCGCCGCCGGGCCGCTCTTGCTCTTGCTCTCCTCCGCCATCTTCGCCCTCCTCCCTCCGGGCCGGGAGAAACACAACTTCCGGTTGGTCAGTTATTCAGAGACCGGAAGCCGCCGTTGCGCCGTTTCGTCCGCCATCTTTGATGCGGGAATCTTGCTCTCAGCGCTTCTTTTTCCCGTAAATATGAAAGTATCCACATTTAAAACCAAAATTCTGCAACAGAGAGTGAAGGTGATTCCGCAGGCCTGAGAATCAGTCTAGCTTGGACGGTTGATTTCCGCCTGATACCCTCACTGGGGCATCCATCTTTGTTAAGGGCGCGGCTGAAACCTCCCAGGAGGCTGCTCGTCGCGGCCACGTGACGGGCCCGCGAGGAAAAAACGGCGAAAGGATGAGCGTTATTCAAATAAGGGAAGCGGAAGCGGAAATATAGTGGGCTGTATAGCGCCGGAGCCGCCATCTTTCTTACGGGCCCAGTGCACTTCCGGGATGGACTGAGCTGGAACGGAGGGAAGCGGCTGCTGGCGTGGAGGCTCCCCGGGGCGCGCGTGGGCCGCAGGCAGGAGCGGAATGTGGGGCGCTGGCGCTGCGGGGGTGGGGGTGGGGGGGCTGGCTGGAAGCAGTAGCTCCCTGTGCAAAACCAGGACCATCAAAAATCAGCCCATTTCCTTGCGGGGGGAGGGGGGTCCAGGGCATGGGATACCCCGTGTAGCAAGCTGTGCGAATGAGAGGAGAGGAGAGAAGAGGACAGAATACAGGATGGGAAGAGAAGAGAAGAAGAGAACGTAGAATAGAATAGAGGAGAATTGAATAGTCCATTTGTGTGTGTGTGTGTGTGTGTGTGTGTGTGCACTAAATGGGCAAGCTGCTGATTGGCATGGATTTCAAGCAGTCAAGGTATAAATAGGCTCCTAGCCTCTTGTTTCCATGATCTGTAACATGGGAATTATAGACTTGGCCCTTTTAAGAGGGCTGGACTTCAACTCCCAGGATTTTGCAAAGCTGGCTGGGGAATTCTGGGAGTTAAAGTTCACCCCTCTAAAAAGAGCCAAGTCTAAAAAACACTTGACTAGATCTACAACTAGGTCCATTGTGTTGTAGGAATATGCCATTGGTTCAAACTGAGGGGCGAGATGAAAGCTATGGGCAGGAACAGATGGCAAAGACGGTGTAGCTCTTAGATCTGTTGATGACTGATCTATCTGAGTGCCAAAAAACAAACAAACAAACTCAGAGACCACCAAGTACAGACAGTCCTTGACTTATGGCCGTGAAATATCTGTTGCTAAACAAGACAATTGTTAAGTGAGTTTTGTCCCACTTTGTGACCTTCCTTGTCACAGTGAATCCCTGCAGTTGTTAAGTGAATAACAGTTATTAAGTGAATCTGGCTTCCCCATGGACTTTGCTTGTCAGAAGATCACAAAAGGAGATCCCGTGACCCAGGACACTGTAACTGTCATAAATATGAGCCCATTGCCAAGTCTTTCAATTTTGATCACGTGACCATGGGGATGTTGCAACAATCATTAAGTGTGAAATATGAAATATAAAAAATTTTTTCACTGCCATTGTAACTTCAAATGGTCACTAAACGAATGGTTGTAAGTTGAGGGTTACCTGTACTTCACAGTTAATCCCTGAGCTGCAAATATTCTCTTCTATTAAAATAATTATTCTTCTCCAGGCTTGGAAGAGATTTTCCTTGAAGCTCAGAAAAAAACCCACTTCTCATCTTTTCGCATATTTTTCCAGGTTGAGAGGGGTGGTCCAGAAAACCTTGCAAATCCTTTGTGTTGCTGGGAAACACTTTAGAGGGATCCAGAGCCAGGAACCTGGCCACAGGTAACTAATTTAGGGGTGCTTTTTTGCACATGACAGCCTTGGAGCAGTAAGACAGGGTAGGAGAATGGAAAATTTCTCAATCAGAATAGAGTTAAGAAGGGAGCCTGGAGGTCTTCTAGTCCAACCCCTGATCAAGCAGGAGACCCTATACCCTTTCAGATAGGTGGCTGTCCAGTCTTTTCTTAAAAACTTCCAGTGATGACGCACCCACAACTTCTGGAGGCAAGCTGTTCCACTGGTTAATTGTTCTTACTGTCTTGAAATTTCTCCTTAATTCCAGGTTGCTTCTCTCCTTGATTAGTTTCCATCTGTTGCTTCTTGTCCTACCTAGGAGAATAGCTTGACTCCCTCTTCTGTGTGGCAGCCCCTCAAATATTGGAAGGCTGGTATCATGTCACCCCCTAGTCCTTTTTTCCTTTAGACTGGCCATTCCCAAATCCTGCAACCGTTCTTCCTATGTTTTAGTCTCTAGGCCTTTAATCATCTTAGTTGCTGTTCTCTGCACTTTTTCCAAAGTCTCAACATCTTTTTTGTAATGCGGTGACTAAAACTGGATGCAGTATTCCAGGTGTGGTTTTACTAAGGCTTTATTAAGTGGTACTAATACTTCATGTGATTCTATACCTCTGTTTATACAACCAAAGATTGTATTAAGTTTGTTGGTTGCTGCCGCACACTGCTGACTCATGTTTAAGTCATCGTCCACTAGGACTCTAAGGAAGCGGCCCCCAACCTTTTCGACACCAGGGACCAGTTCCGTAGAAAGAGGTTTTTCTGTTGAGCAGACGGCATGGTTTCATGTGCTGCCTGCATCCTGCAGATACAGCTTTGCTTGGTTGTGCGGCCCAGTTTCTGGCATGTTGTGGCCCAATGCTAGTCCATGGACCGGGGGTTGGGGACCCCTACTCTAAGGTCCCTCTCACAGTTACTGTTTTTGAACCAGGTTTTGCCTAATCTGTATTTGTAACTTTGGTTTTTCCTGCCTAGGTATAAATCCTTGCTTTTCTCCACATTAAATTTCATGTTGTTGGATAGGGCCCATTGTTCAAGTCTGTCAAGATCTTTTTGGATCCTGAGCTTGTCTTCTGGGGTGTTGGCTATTCCTGCCAGCTTAGTGTCATGTGCAAATTTGATGAGTTCCCCTTCTATTCCTTCATCTAAGTGATTGATGAAGATATTGAAGAGTACTGGGCCTAAGACGGAACCTTGTGGCATCTCACTGCTTACTTCCCTCCACGTAGATGTAGTACCATTAAGGACTACTTGTTGAGTTTGGTTTGTCAACCAGTTATAAATCCCTCTGGTGGTGAGGCTGTCTATCCCACATTTTTGTAGTTCACCAAGAAGTAGGTTGTGGTCTACTTTGTCGAATGCTTTGCTGAAGTCTAAGTATACTATGTCCACAGCATTTTGCTGGTCTACTAATTTAGTCACTTTGTCAAAGAATGAAATAAGATTGGTTTGGCATGATCTGTTTTTAACAAACCTGTGCTGGCTACTAGTTATAACTTCATTTGTTTCTAGATGTTCGCAGATCTGTTTTTTGATTATTTTTTCCAGTATCTTCCCAGGTATTGATGTTAGACTGATTGGCCTGTAGTTTCCTAGGTCTGTGTTTTGTTTTGTTTTAAGATGGGAATTTGATGTGAAGGTTGAAATAAAGTTCCAGCATTCTGAACTGCGAGTTACAGTTCAACCATATTGGAAGATAACTCTGATTTCAGGTGCTTTTTACAACTTGGTATGCGGTCTTCTCTAATTTATTTTCTTTGCAACCCTGTAAGGTATTCTGTTCCAGAATCAAGCATCAGGAATTGGTTTTTGTTTATTCTCAGAATTATGCTTTTTGCACCATATTATCTATGGTTTGCACAACTGAGTCCCATTTTTTTGAGATTTGCGTAACAGAGAACAACCATCCACCAAGTATATTGAGTACACAAAACACAGTAGGCTAAAATGTGGTGCTCTAGTTTGCGATTCAGTGTGTGCTCTGGATGCCGTCTTCTGTAATTTGATTGCTATTCAACCCTCTGAGCACTAAACAAGAATGCCAATTTGTAATTTAGGGATAGGAGCTCTGCCGTTGGAAATCTAGTTGAAATGTTGGGATTTTCAGAAAACTCATTTGTTGCCTTCCAATTTCAAGTTAGTGCAGGGAGATCCCAACAAACGTTTTCTTTCCCAGCAATCCAAAAAGATTAAGCATGCTAAAACTAAATGGAGAAGTTAAATGCTAAGTAAATTTCCTGTTTCTCCTCCAGGGGTGATGGCTTTTGCGTTCGAGTTCCTCTGACACCTGCTCCATATTTTCTGTCCAGATTCCAAGCGATGTCCTCGGGTGTGAGAGGCCCAAAGCCCCTCATTGCGGTCTGCCAAGTGACCTCGACTCCAGACCGAGAACACAACTGGGCAACCTGTTCGCAGCTTGTCCGGGAGGCAACTCGGCGGGATGCTTGCCTTGTCTTCCTCCCAGAAGCCTTTGACTTCATCGGCAGCAGCACGGAAGAAACGCTCAGCCTGGCGGAGCCCCTGGAGGGGGATTACCTTCAGCGCTACGTCAGCCTGGCCAGGTAGGACTCGCAGGGTGCCAGAATGGCTGGGGTGGCTTCTGAAAGAATGTGGATCCCTCCCAGTGGGGGCCTATCGACATACAGATAGGATGAATCATAAAAATGGTCACAGAACAAATCAATTTGGTCTCATGGTTAAGATGCCAGGCTAGAAACCAGGAGACGGTGAGTTCGAATCCTGCATGAAAGAGATCTGGGTAACTTTGGGCTAATTACCAGGAGATGGTGAATTCTAGTCCTGCCTTAGGCATGAGAACCAGCTGAGTGGCTTTGGGCCAGTCACCAGGAGATGGTGGGTTCACATCTCACTTTAGGTATGAAACCTGGTTGGGTGCCTTTGGGCCACTCTCAAGCCCACCCGCTCGCAGGGCTGTTGTTGTGGGGAAAATAGAAGAAGGAAGGTCTTTTAGGTACGTTTGCCAACTTTAGTTATTTATAAAAATAACTAAAGGCAAGATAAAACATCTAAAAAAATGTGTTCATCTCCTTAGGTTGGGGTTTCTCAACTTTAGCAACTTTAAGTCGTGTGGACTTCAACTCCCAGAATTCCCCATCCAGCGTAGTTGGCTGGGGAATTCTGGGAGTTGTAGTCCACACCTCTTAAAAGTTTCTAAGTCTGAGAAAGCCCAACCTAAAACGCTTTCAGGGAAAAAAGATTTTAGTTCTTGTAGCGGCTGCAGAGAACGTGTGGCTCCACCTTCTGTAGGTGCCACCAGGTGGGGAAGGGGAGAGCCTCAGCCAGGTAAGCACAGGTGGAAACAAGCCTTTGCTTCTCTCCGGACAGGGAGTGTGGAGTGTGGTTGTCCCTTGGAGGTTTCCACGAGAGGGGCAGAGACTGGGAAAGCACGCAACGGATCTACAACTGCCATCTTCTTGTGGATCTCAAAGGTAATGAAATGTCCGTAAATTAGGTGGGGGTCTCTTCTTGGCTCCCACCCCCCACCCCGATATTCCTGTAGCAAGAGAGCTCAGTCACAAGGGTGCTGAGTCAGGTTGGATTGCCCATGCTTCCTTAAAAAAAATCTGCTTTGCAGTGGTGATAGTTGGAAAAAACACTTAAATTTGACCATACATCAAACCTAAGACATTAAAGTGTGTTGACAAAGTACAGTAGCTGTGTTTACACAACTTGTTAAGTCAAAACAAAGTATCCAGGATGGCTGAGTTTAGACTTTTGTGTTCGATCAACAGCTAGTTTGTTTGCCTGCAGTGTGACTTGTTGTAGGACAAACACACTGTAATTTGCAGACACTGACTTATGGCTTACTTAGGGTGATGCAAAGCAGCTCTTTAAAGGTGCCTGTCAGATAGAAAAGCCTTTGGATAAATCCAAAGTTAAATCACACGGGGAACCTTAGGTGTAGTGCTGAAATTACATTTTGAAAGGAAGGCGGTAGAGGTGGAAATTTGCCCTGGAAAGAAACGGTAGCAGAAAAGGCAGGAGCTTGTCAGGTGTATTTCCAATAGAAGAGAAGGTTGGTAGCTCAGGGTTGAATTGTGGGGTCCTGGGTGTTTGGTGGTTTTCTTGCAGACGTTTCGTCAGCCAGCGAGGTAACATCATCAATGCTGCCAGAAAGAAAACAAGCTCAGAGAGCAACGCAAACATAGAAAGTAATATATTAACAGAATAACAGAGTTGGAAGGGACCTTGGAGGTCTTCTAGCCCAGGCCTTTTCAACCAGTGGTACGGGTACCACCTGTGGTACATTGGCACCTGGCAGGTGGTACGCGACCATCCTAGAAAAGTGTAGCGGGGGAGGGGAATGAGCTGAACCGGTGGCAGCACTGCCAAGCCTGAGCGAGAGACGGCTGGAGCTGCAGGGCTGTCAGGGCTCAGCGGAAGCGCCAGGATCAGTGCCGCTTTCCAGCTGATCGGGGCTGCTTTGGGGCTGTCAGGGCTCAGTGGAAGCGCCAGGATCAGCGCCAGGATCCAGCTGGAGCTCAGCACTGATCCAGACGCTTCTGCTGAGCCCTGAAGAAGCGCCGATCAGCTGGAATGTTGCAGCCTCTCCAGGGTCTTGTGATTTACATTCAGATGCTTGGCAACTGATTCATATTTATGACGGTCACAGTGTCCCAGGGTCATGTGAAGTGACCAAAACCTGCCTCAACCACCCAGCAGACGGGGGGAATAAAAACCAAACACCCTCCCACCCCCGCTGCCAATCCCCAACAGAAATGCTCACAACAGTGAAAACCTCGGACAGGAGAAAGAGTACGGCCAGGCGGGCAGGCAGGTGTCTTGCTCAGCTGTGCCCTGGGGGGCACTTTTTTCAGTGCCATTGTAACTTCGAACAGTCACTAAGCAAACTGTTGTAAGTCGAGGACTACCTGTACTTTATCACTTTTTTTCTTTTCTTTTTTGGTCATCAAGTTTTTGACACCTTGCTAGGCGACTGGTGGTACTCGGATGTTGCCATATCCTAAAAGTGGTACAATGGGTGAAAAGGTTGAAAGGCCCTGGCCTAGTCCAAACCCCTGCTCAGGCAGGAGACCCTCTGCCATTTCAAACAGGTGGCTGTCCTGCCTCTTCTTAAAAACCTCCAGTGTTGGAGCACCCACAACCTCTGGAGGGAAGCGGTTCCACCGGTCAGGAAGTTTCTCCTTAATTCCAGGTTTCTTGTCTGCTTGATTAGTTTCCATCCATTGTTTCTTGTCCTGCATTGAGATGCTTTGGAGAAGAGGTGGACCCTCTCTTTATTTTGTGGCTGCCCCTCCAATATTGGAAGATGCTATCATGTCAGCCCTGGTAGTTCTGAAAAGGAAAAATAAACGTGGGACTTCCCACCGTTTATTCTCAAAGTATTAGATGTTGGATCATCCAGTCAAACTGACTGGCAAGATAACTTTTTAATTCTGAAAATCTTTTTCCTGAAGTATGGAAAATTCCACTTTGGAAGGATCCGAATAAACTGTAACGGAATACAAAGAAGGCAACCAGGGTGATTTGGGAAAGGGAAAAAAGCATTGAAGAAAATGGGAAGGTGAGCTTGGAGATAAGACAGACCAGGCAGGGTAGCTGAAGGTGACTGAACATCCCAGGTTGGAAAATGGTGGCCTTAAATTACTGGAAGGCAGAAAAAAAAATATCCTGAAGATTAGAACAATTGGACATTGGGAATTATTCTTTGAAAGCATGCCATGGGATGCAATATAGGTAGTCCTCGACTTATGACAACTGAGCCCCAAATTTCTGTTGCTCAGCGAGGCAGTTGTCAAATGAGTTTTGCCCTGTTTTACGACCGTTCTGGCCACGGCTGTTAAGTGAACTACTGCAGTTGTTAAGTTAGTGGCACGGTTGTAAAGTGAATCTGGTGTTCCCCATTGACTTTGCTCGTCAGACGGTTGCAAAAGGGGATCACGTGACACACACACACACACACCGGGACGCTGCGACCTTCGTAAATATGAACCAGTTGCTGAGTGTCCAGATTTTGATCATGTGACCAGGGGATGCTGCAGCGGTCCTAAGGGTGAAAAATGGCTTTTCAGTGCCATGGTAACTTTGAACGTTCACTAAACAAACTGTTGTAAATCGAGGATCGCCTCCTGTAGCTGGCATGAACATTACGTGAAATTGTGGTTCGGTAGCTTTTGTCTGCTTCTAACCCTCCCGATCCTTCCTTCCTCCTTGGCGAGGCTGCTCTCAGGGTCTGTTGCGGCCGCCTATCGGAAGATCCACCTCTTTGACGTGGAGCTGGAGGGGAGGGTCTCCCTGAAGGAAAGCGCCTTCACCAACCCGGGCTCAGAGCTGGTGCCGCCCGTGCCCACCCCAGCTGGAAAGGTACGGGACTCAAGGTGGGGCCCGCGCCCTCACCTGTTGGGGGGGCCCAGAGGAGCACGAAGCCCTCCCTTCCCCATACCATCAATTTCCATGTGCAGGTAGTCCTCTACTTATGACCACCATTGAGCCCCAAATTTCTGTTGCCAGGTGAGTTTTGCCTCATTTTATGACTTTTCTCGCCACAGTTGTTAAGTTAGTCACGTGGCTGTTCAATGAATCCGGCTTCTGCGTTGACTTTGCCTGTCAGAAGGTCGCAAAAGGGGATCCCGTTTTTCCCCAGGGCTATTGTAACTTCGACTGGTCACTAAACAAACTGTTGCAAGTCGAGGACTATCTGTATGGAGACCAATTAATCATCCTTGCCTCTTCTTTACATTTTTAACTTTTAAATCCTATGTGTGTATTTTAATATTTGAGGGGGCCCCCGCCCCACCCAGAGCCCTCTCCCTCTGAGAGAGAGGGGCTGTTCCAATAAAAAGAACATGGAGCAGAATTAGGGTAGTGGGCAACCGGCCTGCGTTTACGACATCCGGGGGTCCTGGGATCGCCCGTTGTAACCTTCCTTGGGGCTTCCCAGCAAGCAAAGTCAAGAAGGTTTTGCTCAACGACCATCGGGGAAAAAGGTTGTATAATCGGGCGTGATTCACTTAGTGACAGAGGCTCCAGCTCCCATAGTGGTGTAAGCCGAGGACCGGCTGTGCTACCTAACCTCTTCCCAGTTACTCCCAGCAGGGGAGGCTCCTGGGCAGCTTCTCCCCAATTCTGCCCCTTCTCCAGGTGGGGCTGGCCATCTGCTACGACCTCCGCTTCCCAGAGATGTCCCTGGCTCTGGCCCAGGCGGGCGCAGAGATCCTCACCTTCCCGTCGGCCTTCACTGTGACAACCGGTGCTGCCCACTGGGAGGTAAGTCCCTCGGCCTTTACTGCAGGCAGTCCTCGACTTACAGCGCTTCATTTAGTGACAATGGCACTGAAAGCAAAGTGACGGCCGTTTTTCACACTCAACGACCGCTGCACCATGCCCACGGCCACAAGATCAAAATTCAGATACTTGGCAGCTGGTTCATATTTACGACCGTTGCAATGTCCTGGGATCTTTTTTGTGACTTTCCGACGAGCAAAGTCAGTGGGGAAGCCAGATTCATACCAACTGATCAACTGCAGCGATTCACTTAGCAACTGTGGCAAGGAAGATCGTAAAATGGGGCAAAATTCACTGAACAAATGTCTCATTTAGCAACAGAAATTTGGGGCTGAATTGGGGTCGTATGTCAAAGACTACAGGTGTTCTGTTCACGGCTTCCTCCTCTCCCCAGGTCCTGCTCCGAGCCCGTGCCGTGGAGACCCAGTCCTACGTGGTGGCTGCGGCCCAGACGGGCCAGCACCACCCTCGCCGCACCTCCTTCGGCCACAGCATGGTGGTGGACCCCTGGGGCAGCATCGTGGCCCAGTGCCAGGAGGGCCCCGGCCTCTGCTTTGCCGAAATCGACCTGGCTTACCTGCACCGCCTCCGCCAGGAGATGCCCGTCTTTGCCCACCGCCAGCCTCGCTTATATGGCCGGGCAGCTGCTGAGTGGGGCTTTGCGTCCCCTTGACGGGCTCAGCTGCCCCTCGGAGGGGGCTTGGCTGCTGCAGCTGGACTCTGCAGGGTGCAGGGGCTCCGGTCGGACAGGAGCTGCTGTCCAGAGGGAAAGTGGGAAGGAGAGAAACCGAATGCAGGCAACGTCTGAGCTGGGGAGGGAGGCGTTTCGACATACTCTCCCCCCCCTCATTGGAGCATCAGAAGTTTGCTTTTGAGTATTCAGACATTCGGGGTTTAGACTGGTGTGGGACCCCGTCGGTCACTTTCCCTCTAGAGCAGCTGCTTTCCTGAAATAAATTTTTCAGCCACACGGCTTTCCTTCCTTCACTTTAATCCAGCTCCTTTTTCTAAGCAGCTCAAGACTCCCTGTTTCCGTCTGATCAGAGGTGTCCAACCTCAGCAACGTTTAAGACTTGTGGACTTCAACTCCCAGAATTCCCCATACTGGCTGGAGAATTCTGGGAATTGAAGTCCACGCGTCTTAAAGTTTCCAAGGTTGGAGACCCCTGGTTTTGACAAAATAAGAAGTTGGGGTACTTCACCTTCAGAAGCATTGATTTTCTCTGCTAGAGTGTTTTTTTTTTTTTTTCAGTTTGTGTGTATTTTTATTTTTCACATTTTCGAACCACTCATCTCTCTCAAACTCTGGGCAGTGTCCCCCCCCCCCAATAAAGTATGTTCACTTTTTATGTGCATATATATGGGCACATACACATATATGTCTATGTTGCTCAGAGGCTTTGAAGATTCACGATTCACCATAACCTTATGATCACTTAAACTGCAGGAGTTTCTTATCGACCGTGGCAAAAGGAGGTCATAAAACCAGACATGACCCACTTAACAGGCGCCCTGCTTAGCAACAGAAATTCAACACACCTCATTACTGCAACACATGGAATTAGAGTAGAATTTAATTGTCAATATTGATTCAAGATTAAGCTTGTTCTACAAAAGACCTGGAATAGGGAGAAATCTGTTTTAAACATCTCTTGTTGACCAAACTTGATTTTTAAAACTTGATTTATTTTCTGTATTATAGAACTGATTTCAGCTAAGTCTGCTTGTGCACACTCGCACACGCACTCTTTATTTTGCACAAGCTGCCGCCAGCAATTGCCACATTTTATTCTGGTCAGAACCCACACGTGCCAAGGCTTTGGGGCTCCCGATAAACTATGCAAAATTGTCAGTCTCTGCTCAGCTCCTGTGGTTTAAGAGAGCTTGGCAGGCAATCCGTGGGAGAAGGGAAAGCGACCACGGGATCTCATTCGTCTCTCATGCAGAATTAGTCACGTGTCAGATGGTTCACAAACATTTTTGGCCATCTCCTGAACGTACACACAGATAGTCCTCAATTTACAACCATTTGTTTAGTGACTGTTTGAAGTTTCAAAGGCACTGAAAAAAATGACTTGGCGGCTGTTTTTCACATGACCTGCAGCATCCCTGCGGTCAGGTGATCAAAATCTGGATGCTTGGCAACTGGCATGTACTTAGGACAGTTGCAGAGTTCTGGGTTCATGTGATCCCCTTTTGCCACCTTCTGGCAAAGTGAATGGGGAAGCTGGATTCACTTAACAACCATGTTACTAACAACTGTGGTGAGAAAGGTCATAAAATGGGGCAAAACTCACTTCTTGCTTACAACAGAAATTTGAGATCGTCATTTCCTATAGTGGACTTGTAGGGGACAATAAGTTAAAATTGTTGCTCTTCACATAATTGATAGAACTTAAGCACCCCAAAGCAGATTGGTGGCTGTGATATGGCAGGGCTCAGATAATGGTGTTTTCAGGGTTGATCTAGTAACTGGGAGCTGCTGAGGTCACCAAATTGCAAATGAAAATTTCCAAAACTGTTATGTTTAGCCCCTCCACCTTAGAGAAATGGGAGTAGTTGCTTGTTCACCCTTTTACGTGGAAAACACACCAGAAAAAGACCTAGTGGTCCATCAAGTCTGCCCTTTGGGTTTGCTTTTGTTTTTAATTTGTTTATTCTTACTTATTAAATTTATTTTTATTTTATTTTTAAGTTCTCTCCGCTTTCAATGGAAGGCAATTTTGAGCCCTGAAAAGTTGAAATACTTTCCGCTGCAGTTTGAGCTCGGCTGAAGAAATGCATAAAGTGCTACCTTCTTAGGGTGGGTCCCCACTGACATCTATGGGAATGTCGTATCTAGAGCAATCCTAGCCGTGAAAGGCAGGGCTAAAAGTTCATGGAACAGAACCTCAGACGTGTGCAAAGCAGGGGTGGACGTTGCCAACCTCACTGGCCACAGTATTCTTTGACTTACAACCATTTGTTAACTGTTTGAAGCTGCAACGGCAATGAAAAAAGTGACTTAACTACCAATCCTCGCAGTCCTTAGGACTGTTGCAGCATCCCCGTCCTTATGTGATCCAAATTCAAGTGCTTAGTGACCAGCATGTATTCATGTATTTATTTATCACGCAAAGTATTAGTACCACTTTATAAAACTATAGTAAGGCCACACCTGGAACACTGCAGCCAATTTTGGTCACAATATCACAAAAAAAGATGTTGAGAGTTTGGAAAAAGTTCAGAGAAGAGCAACTAAGATGACCCAAGGCCTGGAGACTAAAACATACGAAGAACTGCTGCAGGACTTGGGTCTGGCTAATCTAAAGAAAACGGGTGACATGATAGCAATATTCCAGTTTTTGGGGGGCTGCCACAAAGAAAAGGGGGTCACGTTGTTCACCAAAGCACCAGAGGGAAGGACAAGAAACAATGGTTGGAAACTGACCAAAGAGAAGCAACCTGGAGCTAAGGAGAAGCTTCTAACAGTGAAGACAACAGGTGGAACAGAAGTTGCCTCCAGAAATCCTGGGTGCTCCATCACTGGAGGTTTTCAAGAAGAGACTGGACAGTCACTTGTCTGAGATGACATAGGCTCTCCTGCTTGAGCGGGGGGCTGGACTAGAAGACCTCCAAGGTCCCTTCCAGCTCTATTCCATGACAGTTGCAATGTCCCGGAGTCATGTAATGGCCATTCAAAGCCAGTTTCCGACAAGTGAAGTCAATGGGGGATGCCAGATTTGCTTAATAGCCACAATTTTCTTAACAACTGTAGTGGTTCGCTTAATGACCATGGCAAAAAGGTCATATAATTGGACACAATAATTAGCAATGGAAATCCTGATCCCAATCTTGGTCGTAGGTCGAGGACTACCTGTATCCAGAGAGGTTAGTGCCATAAAATTATTTCGGAATCTACAAGGTAGATCCTTGGCAACTTTACGACTTATGGACTTCAACTCCCAGAATTCTTCAGCCAGCTGGTTGAAGTCCACAAGTCATCAGGTTTCCAAGGTTGGAGACCGCTGACCCATCTAGGTTTTGAGGTGGAAACACATATTAGTTCTTGTAGAAAACCTTTCCAGGAGACCAACCGACTCCTCTGAGAAAGCTTTGTTCTGTTGGCACACACTACTCCAGGGACCCCAACAGCTGCACCAAAAAAAGGCAGAAGAATTTTTTTATTATCATCATTTCAGAAAAAAAAAACAAACCAAAAGGTACATTAGGGAATATGACCAGTTGCACTGACATTTCCTTAAAAAAAAAAAATAAAGAAGTCACCGATTTTACACAAGTTTGTGCCAGAATTATCATGAAATAACCGGGTTTGCAATGATTGGGCTTTTGTGTACTTCCCGAGGCAGCCGGGGGGGAAGAGGGGAAAAGCCCAAGCGAAGGGCCGCTCGCTTGGGGACAGTTTATGCAGCCAATGGAGCCAGGGCTCATCATTTTTCCTGGATTCACTTCAGATCGGAAGCGGGTCTTTATAGAGAAAAAGTTGGGGAACTTGAGATGAGCTGCCCAGTGCTTTGGATTTGGAAAAAGGGGGCCCCATTTTTGACCCCAGCATGAAAGCCAATGCAGCCCCCGCTGGCAGCTCACCGAAGGGGACACCTCAAAAACGGCCTGTGCAATTTTAGGGTGGGCAGCTGTGCAATTTTAGAAAGAGAGGCGCCCGCTTGGGTGAGCTGCACGAAGGCGCCACGTTCGCTCTTTCGCGCAGGCTCCAAAGCATGAGGGCCTCTTCCGAGCCAAATCCGAAGCGCCATTAACAACCTTCGTTCTTCTCCAAAGTGAAAAAGCCGCTGCCAGCAAATAGAGAGGAGCGAACAGGGAAATCGCAACACAAACCCGTACAGATTGAGTCTCCGGGTGAATTCAATGCCCTTTTATTATCTTCTCTGCAGGACGGAAATCCGCTTTTCCTGTAAGTCCCCCCCCCCCCGTGAAACGCTCCACCTGAGCTTCTGGCTGTATACACTGGACGCTTGCTGGGCGCCTCCCAATTCCTTCCCCTGCTGGATGGAGTCAAAAGGCGGCCCCTCCACCATCTTGAAAAAGCAACCGGGGGGGTCTTTCCTGGGACAGCCCCCCCCCAAAGAGAGAGGCCCGGCTGCTGCTTGTCAAGGCTTTCCCGTGATTTAAGGGGGGCAGAAATAAAATACGTGTGCGAGGACCCAACAAAAAGAAATCCAGCGCAAATCACAGAACCGATTCTTTCCTTCCTTCCAAGCTGGTTCTGTTCTATTTTCTCGACCAACGGAGCCGCAGCAAATCCCACAGTTGACGGGGAAAAGAGAGGGGGAAAAAAAAAAGAGATGCCCTGCCAAGGCCTGTGGGGCTACCAAAAACGTAACCCCACAGCTGAACCCCGGCAGAGTCCCCTGGCCATCTCCCCAAAGAAAAAAGAAAATTCAGATGCCACCAGCGCTGCGCTCAGCACCATGGGGAGCGAGGGCAGGTGCCTCTCCTGTCTGCCTCCGAGCGTCTTCCAGAGCTATTCAGTTTTGCACCACTGGTGGGGAAGTCGGGACAGGGGAAACCCCTGGAGGAACAGACCAGTCAGCTAAACCAACGGGATCCCCCCCCAAAGCTGGCCCCGGCCACACGGGGTGCCCCTCCTAAGCTCGGGCTCCTTCTCTAGCGGGCAGAGGTCTTCCTTTCTTCCCCTCTCTGGGCCAACCACCCCAGGTGGGCAGCTGTCCGCCGAGGTTGCACAGCTGAGGAGGGGAGAGGAAAGACCGTTCTTCATCTTTGGAGGCGAGGAAAAGGCACAGGTGGGATGGTGGGAAGGAGGGCAGGGAGAGAAGAGCCAAGAGATGGTCTTGGGGGAGCTGCTTAGCCAAAGGGGGGGCTCCTATTTCAGGGGTCTCCAGCCCTGGCAACTTGGGAGACTTGTGGACTTCAACTCCCAGAATTCCCCAGCCAGCAATGCTGGGAGTTGAAGTCCACCAAGGTTGGAAAGCCCCGTCCTATTTGACCCACAAGGAAGTCTCCTCCCCCGCCCCAAAGTGGGGTTCAGGGTAGCAGCCCTGGCTCAAATCTCCCCTCCCTCTCGTCTTTAGACCCACATCTCGTGCCCCACCATGGCTGCTTCCTTCGCATGAGACCCCCTCCATCAACACACAACCCTGGCCCTTCCCTTGTCAAACCGTGACTAAACCCGAACCCCTGCTTTAAGACCACTCCCCCATATGGGGAGCAGCTCAGTGCAAATGAAAAACAAAAAGACAACGGAGGAGGAGGCAGAGCCCCCTCCCCTGCCTACGAGCCCAGGTCTCCCTTTCCGTCCCGTCCCTCGCAGCTTCCGAGAGAGGCGGGAAGAGGGACCCGTGGACAAGAACAGCTTTCACAGGAAGGGGCGGGCTAAGGGCCTGCCTTTGGGGGCCTGGTGTCGGCCTTGCTTGGGAGGGGGCGGCGGCAGGCAATCGAACTGATGGCAACGATACCAAAAACAACAGAAAGGTCGGACGGCACAAGAGAGGAGGCGGTAAGAAAGAACCAGCGATAAGAAAGAACCGCCGAGCATCTTTTTTGGGGGGGCTCCCTGATGCTCAGCGAGCCCAGAAAAAGGGGCTCCTTCGAGGCAGGGGGGGTGGAACGGCCTCTCCGACACTCCTGCCCCCCCCCCCGTTTCCAGTTCCCACCTGGGGGAATGAAGAAGAGGAAAAAAAGACCAGCGTATCCTCCCACGGAAAAGACTCATTCAGTACGTGACCGATTTCGTTCCTCGGAGATATTCCCCCCCCCTCTCTTTTTTTTAAGGAAAATAATTTTGCGAAACCAAACAAAACGAAAAGTTCCTCCTCCAAAGGGGGGCCCAGAGGAGAAGGAGAAGGAAGAAAAAGGAAAAAGAAAACATCCGCCACCAGAGAGCCGTCAAGGCGCCGTCTGCAGCATCAAGTTCCTCAGGAGTTTCTGCCGGCCAACCTCGTAGTCTTCTTCGTCCACGTTGACCAGGAGTTTGATGGCCTCGTGGCCCACGGCTTGCTTGAGCGAGTCTGTGATGAAGACGCCCTTCAGGGCCTCCAGCAAGGAGCCGTTGATGTAGTCGCGCCAGAAGGCGTCCAGGTACGTCAGCTCCGAGAACTTTATGTCACAGATGATGGAGCCCAGATCCCGGGATTTCAGGATCGTGTTGGCCTGGCTGAAACGTTCAAACTGGCGCTCCAGGGGGTCCTGCTTGTTGGAGAAGACATTGCCCTCCAGGGCGCTCTCGTGCTGGCAGTACTCGGCCCGGACCCGGAGGCGGATATCTGCGAGGGAGACACCGGCCGGGGGGGGGGGGGAGAGACACGTTAAAGGCAAAGCGGCCCAAGCCTCGGCGAAAATCTCAGCTGAGGAATTTTTGGCTACGGGGGAATGTCAAAATCTGGCCCGGCTCGGAAGGAGCCCCGGGAAGGGCAGAGCTTAAGCGAGGGAAGGCTGTGCGTTTATTTTTATCTGTTTATTTTATCCTGCCTTTATTGTTTTTATACACACACACACACACACACACACATATATATATATATATATTTCTAATAACATTAAAACTAAAACAGTGACTCCTGGGTGTGATCATCTTCCCAAAAAACAAACTGTGAACACCAGGAGTATATCAAACTTTGTATAGTTTGATATACTCCTGGTGTTCACAGTTTGTTTTTTGGGAAGATATATATATATACACACACAGAAAGTTTTTCAGACAGACCGGTCTGATTGATTGCACCTTGGCATTTTTTTGACTGCTATACTGCAGTTCTACTTTTTTATAATCACTTTTGCCTTGCCGCCCCCAAACTAGGGGCATTAAGCAGGCTCAAGTCGCAACTGCGATACATTCTTTGTCAGCAAAAAAGAAATCTGAATATATATATATACATATATATACATACTAATATAATATAATATAATAAATGTAATGTAATGTAATATAATATAATATAATATATACCCTTCCTCCTCCTATTTTCCACACAAAAACAACAACCCTGTGAGGTAGGTTGGGGCGAGCGAGAGGGACTGGCCCAAAGTCATCCAGCTGGCTTTCATGCCTAAGGTGGGATTAGAACTCAGAGTCTTCTTGTTTCTAGACTTCGCCGCTACATCAAACTGGCTCTCTAAGTGGAAAACGTGACAATCTAGTCTAGCTTGCTCTACTCACACAGCTAGTCCTCGATTTACAACAGTTTGTTTAGTGACCGTTGAGCGTCACAACGGCACTGAAAAAAAGGGACTTATGGCCATTTTTCACACAATCGTTGCAGCATCCTCTTGGTCACGTGATCAAAACTCAGACACTTGGCCATCTTTTTTAGCTTTTCTCAACTCTACATTGACTTCCATCCGTCGTCACCTCATTTCATCGGAATCTTTGCCCTTGTTCTTGAATCTGTTCAGGCGGGCAGCCGTTGCCCCAGCATTCTCATTGGTAGACATTGTGAATGTTATATAGATGTGCCTTTAAACCCGACAGCGCCCCAACACGTTGCGCCGAACTGCTGGAGCTGCGAAACTCCCCACTCTTAATTTTAAGGCATGTGGACTTCAACTCCCAGAATTCCACAGCCAGCATTGCTGGCTGTGGAATTCTGGGAGTTGCAGTCCACATGCCTTAAAATTGTCAAGGTTGAGAAACACTGCTTTAGAGTCTAGCACGGGGGTAGGCAACCTCGGCTCTTTTATGACTGGTGGACTTCAACTCCCAGAATTCCTGAGCCAGCATGGCTCAGCTTGGAAACCTCTCCCTTTCCCCTCAGCGTGGCTGGCTCAGGAATTCTGGGAGTTGAAGTCCACCAGTCATAAAAGAGCTGAGGTTGCCTAGCCCTGGTCTAGCACGTGCTGCCACGACTCCGTGCTACGAACATCACCCCCATCTGATTATCAAAGGCCAAATCTTCTCTGCTGGAAAGGCCCCTGGTTTTTTCAGGCATTATATTTTGCTTTCAGAACTGTGGGAGGGAGGGAGGGAAAGACTTACGGATTCCCACAATGGAAGGATGGCTGGATGGATGGCTGGATGAAGTTAATGGAATTGGCAGAGATGGCAAAATTGACAATTTATTTTATTTGACTTGACTTCTATAGCCTCAGCAAATGAGCCTGGGTGGATAATTTCTTTAATTTTGATTAAAGAAATGACTTTTTCTAGTTCTGTTCTTACTTGGAAAAACCTTTTTTTGCTTGAAACAGAAAGAAACAAAACTTTAATTTCAGGAGTTGACGATTAGAACTGTTTACGATTACAGAAATACTTCGTACTATCGTTCACCTTTTAGAGTAACAGGCTACTTATAGTTTATGTTTGTATCTCAACGGAAGAAAACCAGAAATCCCTCCTATCTGGTCCTTCCTTTTCCTTGTTCACACTCCTAACCGTGTTTCTTTCCTGCCTTTCTTTTTTCTATCTCTCGCTTTTTCTGTTTGCTTCTCTTTTAATTTTTTTGTTGAAACTTAATAAAGTCTTTTTTTTAAAGACACACAAGGTGGCTGTCGGGAACCTCACCGCAGGTCTGTTTATCCTTCGGGTCTGGCGTCACGGACTTCCTTCTTTTCCGCTGATTCCCAAGCAGCGCCCTTCCCCGGCCGGACCTCTTGGTGCAGATCTGGGGGCCCGAAGAGGAGCAGCAGACCAGCGGGTGGTGGGGAGGCACTGTGGGACGCAAAGATGGAGAGTTCAAGGCCAGACTAGGTTGGCTTTGGGTGACACAGAAAAGAAGCAAAGTCAGCTGGATGTAGCCGTTTAGTGCTGAAGGAGAGAGAGACTGGGAGATGGTGAATTCTAGTCCTCCCAAAGGCGTGGAAACTGTCAGGTGGCTTGGGACCAGTCTCTGGTCTTGCAGAACCAGGATAGTCATTCTTATTAGCCCTGCAAGGTAGTCCAGACAAGAAGCGCCACAAGGAGTACTAGCCCTACCTGTCTGGGGAATTCTGGGAGTTGAAGTCCACCCATCTTAAAGTTGCTGAGGTTGAGAAACACTGAGTTGTGTAAACAGAATTTTGCAAGACTGAAAGACCTCTGTTACCTTCCTTTTGCTCTTTGGAAAGCCAAGGAAGGTCTCTTCTGAAACGCTCCCCACGCCCCTTTATTCCTATGGGCTGAGAGACCCTCACATGCCGCTTCCCCAAATTGCGTTTCCCGACGTCATTCTCACGGATCATTGCAATTCGCAGAGGCAAAGAGGAGATTTGCTCAGGTGTCCTGGATGCTGTTTTTTTATTTTTTTTAAAAAAAGGGGCACTCATTGCGATAAGAGTTTGCATGTCTTTCCTATCTAAAAATGACAGGAAATTAGTTTGGCAAATATGCTGCTGACAGCTGGCAATGTACTGTAGAACGCAGAACATAGAATCAAAAGGTTGGAAAGGACGATTCAGGGGTTTGGGTTACGTTTTATGGGTTTTATAGTCGGGGTGTGTGTGTTTATTGTTGTCGTGAGCTCCCCAGAACTGTGTTTTAAGATATATCCAGACAAATCCTTTAATTAAATAAATAAGAACACAAGACAGTTGTGAAGGACTGCTTGTTCTAGCAACAGTTTGTGCACTAGATCAGACCAAGTTCAGGATTTGGGGAGTGACTTTGATCTGTACAACACGCTAACCACAAAAATCCAAAACTAGCCAGGTTCGTTCATGTTGTGTAAAACGGGATGCTAGGTAGTGTTTCCTCTCTCTCTCTCTCTCTCTCTCTCTCTCTCTCTCTC